CAGGTGCTGTAGGTGATGCAGGGTTGTGCCCGTGTCTAGGTGCTGACAGTGACCTCAGGGGTACATCCCTATGTCCAGGTGCTGACAGTGATGTGGGGAAGGGGTGAGGGGGGGCAGGTACATCCCTCTGTCCATCTGCTGTCGGTGGCCCCCGGGGGGCACCTTGTCTCCCTGTGCTGTAGGTGACCCCGGGGCCGTGCCTGTGTCCAGGTGCTGACGGTGACCCCGGAGGGGGGGGTACATCCCTCTGTCCAGGTGCTCACGGTGACCCGGGGGGGGGAGGGGTACATCCCTCTGTCCAGGTGCTGACGGTGACCCCTGGGGGGCATCCCGTCTCCAAGTGCTGTAGGTGATGCCAGGGTTGTGCCCGTGTCTAGGTGCTGACAGTGACCCAGGGGGTATATCCCTATGTCCAGGTGCTGACAGTGATGTGGGGAAGGGGTGGGGGGGGCAGATACATCCCTCTGTCCATCTGCTGTCGGTGGCCCCCGGGGGGCACCCTGTCTCCCTGTGCTGTAGGTGACCCCGGGGCCGTGCCTGTGTCCAGGTGCTGACGGTGACCCCGGAGGGGGGGGGTACATCCGTCTGTCCAGGTGCTGATGGTGATCCAGGGCGGGGGGGGTACATCCCTCTGTCCAGGTGCTGACGTTGATCCCGGAGGGGGGGTACATCCCTCTGTCCATGCGCTGACGGTGACCCTGGAGGGGGGGTACATCCCTCTGTCCAGGTGCTGACGGTGACCCGGGGGTGGGGGGGGTACATCCCTCTGTCCAGGTGCTGATGGCGACCCCGGGGGTGGGTACATCCCTCTGTCCAGGTGCTGACGGTGACCCGGGGGTGGGTACATCCCTCTGTCCAGGTGCTGATGGTGACCCGGGGGTGGGTACATCTCTCTGTCCAGGTGCTGATGGTGACCCCGGGGGTGGGTACATCCCTCTGTCCAGGTGCTGACGGTGACCCGGGGGTGGGTACATCCCTCTGTCCAGGTGCTGATGGTGACCCGGGGGTGGGTACATCTCTCTGTCCAGGTGCTGACAGTGACCCCGGGGCGGGGGGGTACATCCCTCTGTCCAGGTGCTGATGGCGACCCCGGGGGTGGGTACATCCCTCTGTCCAGGTGCTGACAGTGACCCCGGGGGTGGGTACATCCCTCTGTCCAGGTGCTGATGGTGACCCGGGGGTGGGTACATCTCTCTGTCCAGGTGCTGATGGTGACCCCGGGGGTGGGTACATCCCTCTGTCCAGGTGCTGACGGTGACCCGGGGGTGGGTACATCCCTCTGTCCAGGTGCTGATGGTGACCCGGGGGTGGGTACATCTCTCTGTCCAGGTGCTGACAGTGACCCCGGGGCGGGGGGGTACATCCCTCTGTCCAGGTGCTGATGGCGACCCCGGGGGTGGGTACATCCCTCTGTCCAGGTGCTGACAGTGACCCCGGGGGGGGGTACATCCCTCTGTCCAGGTGCTGACGGTGACCCGGGGGTGGGTACATCCCTCTGTCCAGGTGCTGACAGTGACCCCGGGGGGGGGGGCGGTACATCCCTCTGTCCAGGTGCTGACAGTGACCCCGGGGGGGGGGGCGGTACATCCCTCTGTCCAGGTGCTGACGGTGACCCGGGGGTGGGTACATCCCTCTGTCCAGGTGCTGATGGCGACCCCGGGGGTGGGTACATCCGTCTGTCCAGGTGCTGATGGTGACCCGGGGGTGGGTACATCCCTCTGTCCAGGTGCTGACAGTGACCCCGGGGGGGTGGGTACATCCCTCTGTCCAGGTGCTGACGGTGACCCGGGGGTGGGTACATCCCTCTGTCCAGGTGCTGACAGTGACCCCGGGGGGGGGGGCGGTACATCCCTCTGTCCAGGTGCTGACGGTGACCCAGGGGTGGGTACATCTCTCTGTCCAGGTGCTGACAGTGACCCCGGGGCGGGGGGGTACATCCCTCTGTCCAGGTGCTGATGGCGACCCCGGGGGTGGGTACATCCCTCTGTCCAGGTGCTGACAGTGACCCCGGGGGTGGGTACATCCCTCTGTCCAGGTGCTGATGGTGACCCGGGGGTGGGTACATCTCTCTGTCCAGGTGCTGATGGTGACCCCGGGGGTGGGTACATCCCTCTGTCCAGGTGCTGACGGTGACCCGGGGGTGGGTACATCCCTCTGTCCAGGTGCTGATGGTGACCCGGGGGTGGGTACATCTCTCTGTCCAGGTGCTGACAGTGACCCCGGGGCGGGGGGGTACATCCCTCTGTCCAGGTGCTGATGGCGACCCCGGGGGTGGGTACATCCCTCTGTCCAGGTGCTGACGGTGACCCGGGGGTGGGTACATCCCTCTGTCCAGGGGCTGATGGTGACCCGGGGGTGGGTACATCCCTCTGTCCAGGTGCTGATGGTGACCCCGGGGGTGGGTACATCCCTCTGTCCAGGTGCTGACGGTGACCCGGGGGTGGGTACATCCCTCTGTCCAGGGGCTGATGGTGACCCGGGGGTGGGTACATCTCTCTGTCCAGGTGCTGATGGTGACCCCGGGGGTGGGTACATCCCTCTGTCCAGGGGCTGATGGTGACCCGGGGGTGGGTACATCCCTCTGTCCAGGTGCTGACAGTGACCCCGGGGGGGGGGCGGTACATCCCTCTGTCCAGGTGCTGACGGTGACCCGGGGGTGGGTACATCCCTCTGTCCAGGTGCTGATGGTGACCCCGGGGGTGGGTACATCCCTCTGTCCAGGTGCTGACGGTGACCCGGGGGTGGGTACATCCCTCTGTCCAGGTGCTGACAGTGACCCCGGGGGGGGGGGGTACATCCCTCTGTCCAGGTGCTGACGGTGACCCGGGGGTGGGTACATCCCTCTGTCCAGGTGCTGATGGTGACCCCGGGGGTGGGTACATCCCTCTGTCCAGGGGCTGATGGTGACCCGGGGGTGGGTACATCCCTCTGTCCAGGTGCTGACAGTGACCCCGGGGGGGGGGGCGGTACATCCCTCTGTCCAGGTGCTGACGGTGACCCGGGGGTGGGTACATCCCTCTGTCCAGGTGCTGATGGTGACCCCGGGGGTGGGTACATCCCTCTGTCCAGGTGCTGACGGTGACCCGGGGGTGGGTACATCCCTCTGTCCAGGTGCTGACAGTGACCCCGGGGGGGGGGGGGTACATCCCTCTGTCCAGGTGCTGACGGTGACCCGGGGGTGGGTACATCCCTCTGTCCAGGTGCTGATGGTGACCCCGGGGGGGGGGGTGTACATCCCTCTGTCCAGGTGCTGACGGTGACCCGGGGGTGGGTACATCCCTCTGTCCAGGTGCTGACAGTGACCCCAGGGGGCACCCTATCTCCCCGCGCTGTCGGTGACCCCGGGGCCCTGCCGTGTCCGTGGGCTGCCAGTGACCGGCGGTGGCTGCCGCCCGGCAGGCCGGGCCCCGCGCCGGGGGGAGCTGCACGGTGGGCACGCCGGGGGCGGAGGAGGGTCCCCTCGACCGTCGGGCCCGCGGAGGGGCGGCCGCAGTCCGGGGCGGGGGCGGGGGGCGCGGGGGTCCCGGCTCCGAGGCGCACGTGGGGCCCCGCCCCCTTCCCTCGGGGCCACGCCCCCTCCCCGCCCCGCCTTTCTGTCGGAGGACAGCGCGCGAGCGCCGCCGGGAGGCCGCCCCTTTAAGCCGCGCGCCCCGGAAGCGGTAGCGCGGCGGCGCCGGGGCCGGAAGTGGTGCTGCGGGAGGCGGCGGCGGCGGCGGCGGGCGGCTCGGGAGCTGCCTCGCGCGGCCGGGCGGGCCTCCGTGTCGCGGCGCCGCTCAGGCTCGGGCTGGCCCGGCGCGGCCTCGGGGCTGCCCATGGGGCGCGGGGGGCCGGGCCGGTGACGGCGGACGCCCATGGCCGCCCCTGCGGAGCCGCAGCCGCCGGTGATCTACACCATGGAGAACAAGCCCATCGTCACCTGTGAGTGCCGTCGGCGCGGGAGGAACCGGGCCCCCCCGCCCCGCGACCCCCGACCCCTGACCCCCGACCCCCGCGCTCCGGGCCCGGCAGCTCCCCGGATCGGAGGCGTGGCCGGGGCGGCGGCTGCGGCGGGGCCTCCGCGCCCGAGGGTGACCTCCGACCCCGGGACGCCCGCGGGCCGGGGCGGGGGCGGGGCTGGGGGGCGGGGCTGGGGCTTGGGGGCGGGGCTGGGGGCTGGGGGGCGTGTGCGCTCGGATCCCCGCGGTCCCCGCAGCTGCCCCTCTGCCCCCGGGTCGGGCTCGCGGGCGCGCACAGGCCGCGGGGGGGGGGTCCTCCTCCTGTGACCGGAAGACGCCCCCCACTAATTCTCTCTGCAGCCGCAACTTTAGGATTAGACACTGGAGAAGTGCGGAGGGTACAGGCAGCGCCGAGGCGTCGCCGACGTTCCGTTCGGACCACGGGGATTTCAGACCTTGACAGCGTCCCGTCGACTCTCCTCCTGCGTCTTCCGGGCTTTCAGAGGGGCCCTGTTTTCTGCGGAAAATCCTGGCGCCCAGGCCGCCCATGGCCGGCTGCTGTGCGAGTCTGGGGCACCTCGTGTTCTTGTCCCTTTTCCCGTCTAACGGGCGCGCCCCTAGCGTGTCCTCTCTGCTCAGGCCCCGGAGGGACTGGGTGTCGGACCTTGAAGTGTGTGGCTTCATCTCCGGGTGACAGACTTCCTTAGGGAAGTGGGCTGTCTCCTCCCGACTCGGACCCTGGCGTGCTCCAGCCACAGCCGTTCCTCCCCCCCCCCCCGAATATCTGTCGCCGGGGCGTCTTAACTTCGGTCCTCTCTAGAGCTTGCTCCACCTTCAGCCCCAGAGGACAGGTGCACGCGGACCTGGAGGCCCCCGCAGGTGCTCTCCAGGTGCTGGGGCAGAGGCGCCGCGGCCCCGGTGGTCTTCCTGCCGGGTGCCCGCCGTGTAAGGCAGACCCTGGAAACGCCCACACCCCCTGAGCTCGGGGAATCCGCATCATCTAATTGCATGTCGCACCCCTTGGCCTAGACAGGTTTCTGCGGGCGTCCTGTAAGTACAGTTCTGGGGAGGAAGCTCCTGAATCTCATGACGGACTGAGTAGCTGGCTCTCCCAGCAGACAGTGACCAACGTCTGTGTTTAGCGTTTACTTTCATACCCACCTGCGGGACAGTGAGGGGACAGCGTCGTCTCCTGCAGAAGGTAGCCAGAGCCTCTGGATGCAGTGTTGTGTGGGCCAACGACGTCTCTGTCGTAAAGGCCAGAGCCTTCCACTCGCCGGAGTCCCAGGAGAGAAAGCGGCGTCGGTAAACTTTCAGACAAGTTGGCTGGAATGATAAAGAAGGGCTCTCTAAACTGGACAGGTGTGTTAGCGTGGAGAAAAGCTGGCTTCCCTGTTCACACTTGAAATTACACTTGGGTGTTTCCGTGTTTGGGGCTGCGGCTCTGGGAGGCACTTGCCCTGGTTTTTGCCCCGTACTTTCTTTATCTGTCCTGTTCTCTTCGGCCTCTAGCCTGTGGTTTGAAGGGAGGAGCTGGCCTAAGCCCTGTAGACAAAGGCAGTAGGAAAATTGCTTTTGAAGAATCCACCCCGAGGCTCCTTATTCTTGGAAGTTTTGATGTCATGTACATGACCTCTTAGTTTGCAACACGTCTGTGTTCCCAGTGGCTCTGCTCCCGGGACACCTGGCTAGCCTCGGCAGCCCGATCCCCTGTGAAGTCGGGTTTGTTCCTTTTCCGATGAGAGCACAGTTTGTGCTGCTTTGGCTTTTGCTCATGGAATTTAGGACACTCTGAGTTGAAGTGAACTGTGAGTGGAGCTTTCTGAGGAGGATGTAGAGTGTGTTCAAGTAAGTGTAGGAACCAGTCAGATGTGTGTTGCTGGGAGAAGAACGGAAAGTCCCCAGAGACGAGCGGTAACTACAATACACGATTACTTGAAAGCTTGCTGAGTTATTTTAATAATATTCTGAAGCTACCTAAACATTTTTTTATGGCCTTCACTCCATAACTAAGAGTCTCTGAACCTGCTGCCTAGCTGCCTCTTACCAAGAGCCTCAGCAGGGGATCTGCTTAGACCCCAGACTAGTTAGGCCAGTAAGTACCAGAGACCATCTGTGAAATAGCGGTGCTGATGGTGTGATGACATTACCTGCTCGTAGCAATTTGGGTGCCTGTAGCATAATTCATTAATCATGAAAAATGTACAGTTCAACTGAAGCAAACCCAGCAGATTTATTTGATCTAAATTTAAGTATTAGCTTAGATTTTTTTTCTTTTTCCCCAAGCACTGGGTCAGTTCTCTGCTTTAGATTAAGACAGGTTTCTGTTACAAGGGTATGTTGGGGAAGACCCGTTCCTTTTCCAGCTCTCTCCTTTCGCGGACAAAGTTATTGTAATTCCACTGATTTGTGGCATTTCTTTGTGGGCTGTTAGCATCGTGACAAGACTAGAATATACAGTCAACAAAGAATTGTATAGTATTTGAAAAATCACAATGCTCCATGCAAATGATCTCATCTTACCAGTCACTTCTTAGGCTGTGTGGTTTATTTTTCTGGATCTATTTGGGGTTCCACATCTATACATTTTGAAAGGGTGGAAAAGGCAACAAAAATGAGCAAAGCCATGATGCTTTGTGTGTGGAGTTTGACCCTGCCCCCCAGGTTAAAGTTTATAAATGTGCACCTTGTTAATTTTTCACCCACCCTGTAAGTGTGGTGCTTGTGATTTGACCACTGTCGCAGTCTGAGTCCCAGAAAAGTCACTTAAAATATCTTTTTTTTCCAATTGATGCACATAAATGCAGACCTTGGTTCATACTGAATTCTTAAGCTGGTAACGAATCAACAGCTGAGACGCAGGAGAAGCGTTTGTCCTCAGAAACCTCAACTGTTCGAGGACTGAAACGCTACCGCATGCCCTTGCCTGGCTCCGTGTGTCCTTCGTGCCCGCGCGTGCTTAAACACAGGTGGATCCTTTATGTGGGACCAGCTCGTCCTCATCTGTGAAATAGGGATGGCCACGGTACCAATCTCATAGGGTTGATGCGGAGTTGAAAGAATGAACGTGTGTAAAGCACGCAGAAGAGGCATCAGCGTGCCAGACCTTTAGCTGCTAAGGAGTAAGTCCTGAACTTCATTTGTTCACAGTGCCTTTGTGTCTCGGTAACTTTGTCATGGCATCTCTGGGTTAACGAGGATACTGAATAACTCCATTTATTAAATCGTTAGGTCCAACTAATTTTATTAAATAAGTATTATGCCCTAGCAGTCGTTATTGGGGAAAGTCATACACATAAATTAGAAGAAACATTTTTATTTCATTCTTAGATAACCATGGTGACATACTAATGGGATGGTTGCACCTGTTGGGCACTGCACAACTTCTCTAGCTTGGGAGACCAATGGACGTTGCCGCCCTCTGTGGTTTTTTGTTTTTTGTTTGTGGCACCACATAGTGATGCCACGGAGAGGAATGTACCAGGATCTAATACTGAAACTGAATACCTCAAGTGGGGGTCCGGTCCATCTCTGGCGTTGCATTTTCCTCTTAAATTCAGAATGCCCTGTGGGGCCTCTGTGGGTTTGCTGTGGTACAAGGAGGCACCCAGGTACATGGTCTGGAAACACCTGTGACTAGCATGTTAACCCAACTCTAGGGTGGGTTTGAACTGGTGACGTCGAAGTAAAAAGTTCTTCTCTGTTTGAACTTTTGCTTACAGGCCTGATTTACAAGATGTGTTTCAGAAGTGGTTCTATTAAAATTTGGTTTATGCAAATGAAATTCAAGGGCCTGATATTTGTTCTTAAGTTCTGAAGAATGTCCGAGATAGTCGAGCGTGGCGGACATTGCAGGAGCTGGTCTCTGCCTGGAAAGGAGTGGACGGCAGCGTGGTGGGGCCCCCACACTGACACGGGAAGGGCCGAGGGGCTCGTCTTCGATGGAAGTGCGAGTGACGGGCTAAAGAATTTGTCGTCTAAGAGAAACTTTCCCCAGGTGTCAGAGCGTCTCTTCATGGGGATCACGTGGCGTCGCCTGCGTGCGGTCTCGGGGTACGCTGGTCCCCCACTGTCTCCACACAGCTGCCTGGGCCTCGGCTGTGGATCCAGGTGTGGAGGGCAGCATGGCTCTGCCTCGGGCAGCCTCCTCGCCCTGCTGGCCTTGGAGCCGGCTGCGGCTCTCCTGCCTCCCTTCAAGTCTGGGCTCTGTGACTGCTCTGAACCTGATTTCATGTGTATTCACAGTGGTTTGGTCTTAGCAGATATTTTTTTTTTCTTAAGATTTTATTTATTTATTCACAAGAGAGAGAGAGGCAGAGAGAGGCAGAGACACAGGCAGGGGGAGAAGCAGGCTCCATGCAGGGAGCCCCACGCGGGACTCGATCCCAGGACCCCGGGGTCATGCCCTGGGCCTAAGGGAGATGCTCAACCCCTGAGCTACCCGGGTGCCCGTCCGAGGGGTCCTGAGAGGCATGCAGTCCTCTGCTCGGACCCTTCTTGGGCTAGCCACCTTCTCAGCAGCATAACACTCACAGACCTTTCTGGGGACGAGGAGCCCCTCCATGACTTACAAGCCCTGGCCCACCCAAGCCTGGCTTCTGGCTGTACCTTCACCCCCCGCAGCCTTCCCCTTCCTACGAGCCGGCACTGCTCTCTGGCCCCCCTCAACTGCCTCCCCCTCCCTCTGGTAGCTGCTCACATACTACCTCCCACACCCCGCTCCCTGTTTGGCACACTGTTGACTATTCAGTCTTCTTGGCTCAGCACCCCCCTGACATAAACATTTGTTTTTTCTTGGCTTATTGTCTCTCTCCACCCCTGACCCAGGCTGCCTGCCAGCTACAGTGAGAGCGTCCGAATTTCTGTTGGTGACTCCTGTGCTTCTGGCAGCTGCAGCGGTGCTGGGCACACAGAGGTGCTCAGTAAATACTTGTCGAATAAACGAAATAGATAAGTGAGTGAGCGTCTCTAAGGGAAACACCGTGCTATCTTTAACGCCTCCATAAGTTAGAGGCTTTGGACAGCGTAGAGGTATTTTCTCCCAACACGTGTCTCATCGAGATAAGACAGCTTTGTGGGAAATGCTTGGATGGTTTGAACCCTGATCACTCAGACTTGGTTTTAGTTAAACTGCTCTGTGCTTAGTCTTTTTGATATTGCAACATTCCCTGGAGTTTTTGAATCCAGGGAATATATGTTAACTTGGTAAAAGAAATAAAGCTAACTGGTATGCGAGGGACCATATTCTTTGAACTGGTTCCTCTGAATTGAGTTCAGATACGGTTTCTTTACTACAAGTCAGTGGAAACTGGAGACCAAACCGGAGCATTCTTGGGTTGAGTATTTGGCTTCTGAGGTGGAATGTGTAGGATTGGAGGACTGTCAACCTGGCATGTAGATGAAGCCTTGAAAGAAGATATATCTGTAACTTTCAAAACCACCTTTAAGCCTCAAGAACACATAAACAAAGGAGGAATAGGTGTTTTAAACAAAGAACGGAATCCAGAAATGGACTTGCTGGGTCAGAAGGTGAGAGCAGTTCAGATATTGGAGGCAGCTTCCGAATCGCCCCGTGTAGAGGTGCACTCCGAGTGACACGGCTCCGCAACACACGCAGAGGTTTTCCTTCATCGCTTCATTGAGCTTTCATCCGTGTACAGTGAGGGTCATCCATCGTACGTGCACAACTCTGGACCCCGTTCGTCCCCAGAGCTGTGCAGCCGGCACCACCATCCACTTCCATCACCCGTCGGGTCCCTCATGCTCTTGAGCAGCTAATCCCTGCTCCCACCCCTGGGCGTGGGCAACCTCTCTCTCAACGTTGGTGTTTTCTAGACCTTTCGTAGAAATGAGATCGTGCGGCTTTTTTCACTCAGCGGTGTTTGGAGGCTCAGCATCCTCCTTTGTGGAGTTGTGCCGTCATCCGTCGTGCGTTCCTTCTTTCACCTCTGGGTAGTAGTCCTCCGTACGGATGGCCCACATCTTGTCTGTGTTCACCAGCCGATGGACTTTTGGGTTGTTTCCAATTTTTGGGTGTCGGGAGTAACGCTGCTGGGAACATTCGCACACCTGTGCATGGGCACGAGTTCCTGTCCTTCGTGTGAAGATTCTCAGGGGCAGAATTGCTGTGTTGCATGATCAGCTTATGTCTGACTTTTTAAGAAACTGCTGGATTGTCTTCCCAAGTGTCTGCACTTAACATCCCCACCAAAAGTGTTTGAGGGTTTCGGTGGCTCCATATTCTTGTGGACACACACCTGTCTGTCTTCTTTATCATAGCTGTCCCAGTGGACGCGAAGTGGTATCTGACTTTGGTTTTAGTTTGCATTTCCCTCATGGCTAGCAAAGTTGAGCTTTTTATT